TTGTAGATATAAGGCATAAGCATGACAGTGGCAAGTACTGTAATACCCATTTCCATTTGTTCAGACGACGATTCTGCAATATATGTTATATATGTCTGGCTGGCTGACCAGCTCTGTCTATCTGTCTACCTCAGAGAGAGCCACTCATGAACCAGAATCAAGAATTAAGTTTATTTAGGCATGGGTACAAGTAAGTGCAGTTATCATAAATAGTATAAATTACCTAGGATAATCCAAAAAAAGCCAAGCACAGTGCTATTATATTGTGCTTGTTGATATGAGCCATAAGCATGACTGTGGCAAGTAATACGCATTTCCACTTGATTCAAACATGACGATTCTACAACATGTGTAATACCTGTTGGTTCATGAGCAGTTCTCTCTGAGATAGACTGGCAGAGTGGGAGAAAGCAGACTGAGAGACAGTGATAAACAGAGACAGAACTAGACAGACAAAGACACAGACAGACATGTGTAACAGTGAGAACAAATAAGAAAAAACATCTCTCAAGGTTCACTGGTAGCAGTGCACAATCGGCAATATTGCATGACTGCACCATCAGCAGTGTAGAGTGACATTCTTGTCTGACATCACGCTTAGGAGTTTCATACTCCAGTAAGTAAGTTTATTCAGGTATACAAAAATACAGTTAAATAGATTATCATACATAGCAGCATATGTGTGGAAAACTTAGGATAACGCAAAAAAGTCGAAGTGACTTATTATATCACTCGAACAGCCTTCTGGAACGAATTAAGTTATTTGTTATTGTAATTATTATTATTTTTATTATTATTACAGTGGAACCTCTGGTCACGAATGCTTCCTAACACAAACAGATCAGTTCACAACCGAAAAATCTGGTCATGAACACATAATTGGGTGCTGAGCAAACACAGCTACACCAATTTTCACATTCCACACCATTTTTTTAGCATGCACCAATTTTCCACACTTCCTGTTGTTTGTGTACACCTAACTGTTATTTAAGTTTTTTCTCAATTAATCTGTGGATTATTTTGTATAATTAAGGATTTTTCAAACTCTGATTATTTTTTCTGTGCTTAAAACTCTTAGGACTTTTACAGTGTTAGTTTTCTCTGTTGTTCAAGGTTTTCTCAGTGTTATTCAAAGTTTCTACATTTAATTTACTATTACACTGTGCATTCTATGGTATAATTAACTATTTTTGTGACCCAAACCTAATTTCCCCACTGGATTATATGTAAATAAAATTAATCCGAGTAAAGGGTGTGATAAAAGAGAAAAAGGTAGCTTATGAGAGGTTTTTACAAAGCAAAAGTGTTATAAGAAGAGCAGAGTATATGGAGAGTAAAAGAAAGGTAAAGAGAGTGGTGAGAGAGTGCAAAAGGAGAGCAGATGATAGAGTGGGAGAGGCACTGTCAAGAAATTTTAATGAAAATAAGAAAAAATTTTGGAGTGAGTTAAACAAGTTAAGAAAGCCTAGGGAAAATATGGATTTGTCAGTTAAAAACAGAGTAGGGGAGTTAGTAGATGGGGAGATGGAGGTATTGGGTAGATGGCGAGAATATTTTGAGGAACTTTTAAATGTTAAGGAAGAAACAGAGGCAGTAATTTCATGCACTGGTCAGGGAGGTATACCATCTTTTAGGAGTGAAGAAGAGCAGAATGTAAGTGTGGGGGAGGTACGTGAGGCATTACGTAAAATGAAAGGGGGTAAAGCAGCTGGAACTGATGGGATCATGACAGAAATGTTAAAAGCAGGGGGGGATATAGTGTTGGAGTGGTTGGTACTTTTGTTTAATAAATGTATGAAAGAGGGGAAGGTACCTAGGGATTGGCAGAGAGCATGTATAGTCCCTTTATATAAAGGGAAAGGGGACAAAAGAGACTGTAAAAATTATAGAGGAATAAGCTTACTGAGTATACCAGGAAAAGTGTACGGTAGGGTTATAATTGAAAGAATTAGAGGTAAGACAGAATGTAGGATTGCGGATGAGCAAGGAGGTTTTAGAGTGGGTAGGGATGTGTAGATCAGGTGTTTACATTGAAGCATATATGTGAACAGTATTTAGATAAAGATAGGGAAGTTTTTATTGCATTTATGGATTTAGAAAAGGCATATGATAGAGTGGATAGAGGAGCAATGTGGCAGATGTTGCAAGTATATGGAATAGGTGGTAAGTTATTAAATGCTGTAAAGAGTTTTTATGAGGATAGTGAGGCTCAGGTTAGGGTGTGTAGAAGAGAGGGAGACTACTTCCCGGTAAAAGTAGGTCTTAGACAGGGATGTGTAATGTCACCATGGTTGTTTAATATATTTATAGATGGGGTTGTAAAGGAAGTAAATGCTAGGGTGTTTGGGAGAGGGGTGGGATTAAATTATGGGGAATCAAATTCAAAATGGGAATTGACACAGTTACTTTTTGCTGATGATACTGTGCTTATGGGAGATTCTAAAGAAAATTGCAAAGGTTAGTGGATGAGTTTGGGAATGTGTGTAAAGGTAGAAAGTTGAAAGTGAACATAGAAAAGAGTAAGGTGATGAGGGTGTCAAATGATTTAGATAAAGAAAAATTGGATATCAAATTGGGGAGGAGGAGTATGGAAGAAGTGAATGTTTTCAGATACTTGGGAGTTGACGTGTCGGCGGATGGATTTATGAAGGATGAGGTTAATCATAGAATTGATGAGGGAAAAAAGGTGAGTGGTGCGTTGAGGTATATGTGGAGTCAAAAAACGTTATCTATGGAGGCAAAGAAGGGAATGTATGAAAGTATAGTAGTACCAACACTCTTATATGGGTGTGAAGCTTGGGTGGTAAATGCAGCAGCGAGGAGACGGTTGGAGGCAGCGGAGATGTCCTGTTTAAGGGCAATGTGTGGTGTAAATATTATGCAGAAAATTCGGAGTGTGGAAATTAGGAGAAGGTGTGGAGTTAATAAAGTATTAGTCAGAGGGCAGAAGAGGGGTTGTTGAGGTGGTTTGGTCATTTAGAGAGAATGGATCACAGTAGAATGACATGGAAAGCATATAAATCTATAGGGGAAGGAAGGCGGGGTAGGGGTCGTCCTCGAAAGGGTTGGAGAGAGGGGTAAAGGAGGTTTTGTGGTAAGGGGCTTGGACTTCCAGCAAGCGTGCGTGAGCGTGTTAGATAGGAGTGAATGGAGACGAATGGTACTTGGGACTGACGATCTGTTGGAGTGTGAGCAGGGTAATATTTAGTGAAGGGATTCAGGGAAACCGGTTATTTTCATATAGTCGGACTTGAGTCCTGGAAATGGGAAGTACAATGCCTGCACTTTAAAGGAGGGGTTTGGGATATTGGCAGTTTGGAGGGATATGTTGTGTATCTTTATATGTTTATGCTTCTAGACTGTTGTATTCTGAGCACCTCTGCAAAAACAGTGATAATGTGCGAGTGTGGTGAAAGTGTTGAATGATGATGAAAGTATTTTCTTTTTGGGGATTTTCTTTCTTTTTTGGGTCACCCTGCCTCGGTGGGAGACGGCCGACTTGTTGAAAAAAAAAAAAAAAAAAAATTAATCCGTTCCAGACCCCTACGAACTGTATGTAATTTTTTTTTTTTTTAACAAGTCGGCCGTCTCTCACCGAGGCAGGGCGACCCAAAAAGAAAGAAAATCCCCAAAAAGAAAATACTTTCATCATCATTCAACACTTTCACCTCACTCACACATAATCACTGTTTTTGCAGAGGTGCTCATAACACAACAGTTTAGAAGCATATACGTATAAAGATACACAACATATCCCTCCAAACTGCTAATATCCCGAAACCCCTCCTCTAGAGTGCAGGCATTGTAATTCCCATTTCCAGGACTCAAGTCCAGTTATTTTTATATAGCCGGACTTGAGTCCTGGAAATGGGAAGTACAATGCCTGCACTCTAAAGGTGGGGCTTCAGGATATTAGCAGTTTGGAGGGATATGTTGTGTATCTTTATACGTATATGCTTCTAAACTGTTGTGTTCTGAGCACCTCTGCAAAAACAGTGATTATGTGTGAGTGAGGTGAAAGTGTTGAATGATAATGAAAGTATTTTCTTTTTGGGGATTTTCTTTCTTTTTGGGTCGCCCTGCCTCGGTGAGAGACGGCCGACTTGTTAAAAAAAAAAAATTACATACAGTTCGTAAGGGTCTGGAACGGATTAATTTTATTTACATATAATCCAGTGGCGAAATTAGGTTTGGGTCACAAACAAATCAAATCGCGACCAGAGTTTTTCGAACGAATTATGGTCATGACTAGAGTTTCCACTGTAGTATTATTATAGTTTTATCCAAGTTATTCCCTTCAGGGGGAATGCCTTAATGAAGGTGAATTGTTCTTGGTACAAGAAATTGAAACTGTCGTTCTCCTTCTTGGATCAAACCTGATTGCTTCCCATTCTGCAGGTGCTGTATGACCCTACTGGGTTGAGCACTTCCCCATTAATATAATAGCTATCAAACATTAGCTTCTCAGGATTTCCCTTATATGAGTGATAGTACTTAACATTATATACTATAGTACAGGGTGTTCATGTTGCAGTTTTGTAACTGGAGTGTAACACACCCCTCTTCTGCAAGACACTGATGGAGTGAATGACGAAAGTTTTTCTTTTTCGGGCCACCCTGCCTTGGTGGGAATCGGCCGATGTGTTAATAAAAAATAGTACAGTTGAACTTCAAATAGAACACATTTTAACAGCACATTTTTGTGATAACGCAGTTGGGAAATTGCAGTATAAATTTAAATAGGACACTGTCAAACTTGATTCTAATTATCACATACTTTTACAAATTGTTTTATTTAATGATACTTTCAAAATTTCCTCCCAAACGTTAAAGATGCTGTAAGCAACAATTGATCACATTAATTCACATGAAATAAAGTTATTTTTGAGGTATACTTAATTAAAAATGTAATACGAGATAGTAATTGTTAAACTTCGTAGATGCTCACACTTTTCACCAATGACCTGTTGGTGAAATTATTTTCATTATGTTATCCCCAGGTGTCCTGCTGTTAAATGCATGTCTGACTGTACAAGCCCACAAAGCTAACTCACACAAAGACCAGGGCTGGGAGAAGTTCACAGACTGTGTCATCAAAACAATATCAGATTGCAACAGAGGTGTTGTTTTCCTGTTGTGGGGTTCATATGCACAGAAAAAAGCTTCTGTTGTTGATAAGGTAAATGGAATCTTTTCTCAGTGTGATATTCTTACCAGCTGTAGCCATATCTTTAGTAAAGCTATTCAGTACGTTTACCCAAAATCACTCCATATTGTTGTATAATCACTGAGTATTCTTACACTATTTCTCTCCTCAAATGAGATTCTTTTTCAGTTAAATACTTAATTGCAAATATGTAATGCACTTGTACTTTTTTAAAGTAGATTATGGTTCTACAAATTTTTTCAGTGGAATAAGATGACAAAGATGGTTTATAAATTTGAAGTGGAAGGCAGGAGTGTTAGGGATCATCCCAGGAATGGTTTGAGGAAGGCTTTGAGTTTTAAAAGTTTGAGCATTCAGCAGGCTTATGTATGTTAAGTAGGAGCAAGTGGAGACATATGGTTATTAATGGGCAAGCTGTTGAAGTGGAAGCAAGGTAATATGAAGGATTCAGGTGAACTGGTTAGCTAGATTTGAATCCTGGAGATTGGAAGGCAAGTGTCTGCACATGGAAGGAGGGGTGGGGATGTTGCAGTCAGAGAGTAACATGAATTGTATTGTCAACATATACTGGCAAGACAGTGCTTGATTCATTGATTGTCAATGTGTTTAATTAAATCTTATAATATAGTTTCCCTGCCTCGGTGGGAGACGGCCGACTTGTTGAAAAAAAAAAAAAATATATAGTTTCATTTAAATTTCCACCCAAATTTCTTTGGATTGAATTAATTTTTCCTTTACTTTACCCTTGTTTTAGTTATCAGTAATACATGTATATTAAAGTGAAATGTAAATACGCTAATTCTACAATGATGAATTTACTTAGATTTTTCATTGGTAGCTTCATCTATTTTCTTTTTGAATGACATTTATGTACATAAAACATTTTCATTTTAACAGAAGAAACACCATCTACTCAATGCTCCACATCCTTCACCACTCTCGGCACACCGAGGATTCCTGGGATGCAAGCACTTCTCCAAATGTAACGAGCTCCTTAAAAATGGTGGTAAGAAGCCAATTGATTGGTCATACTTGCCAACAGAAATTTAAATTGCCAGCTAACTTTACTTGGAAAAATTATGCCTTTTGCTTTAGTGCTAATGTACTTTCATCTTTAAAAATGTGTTAAAAAATTCTCATTTAAACAATATTAAACAGTGTGTGGTTATGGAACTCACCTGTGGCTTCTACTGTTTTATTTAGTGTGAAAAGTTCTTATAAATTTTAATAATTAATATTTTCTTGTTAAACTGCTCCTTGTAAGAGAAGTGAAGACTCATGATATAACTGCATGCTTTTTACCTGCTGTTAAGTCTGATAAGTACTTGACATATATTTGTATTCAGTTCTACAATGAAGATAAATTGATTGGAAAAGCATACTTTCTAATGTCTACCTCCGTTGGTTCCTAAACATGCTTCTTATTCATTACTGCCATTATGTTGTGACCAACTAATTTTCCCAGGCACACACAATTAAAACTCAGTGATAACAAAGTTTTATGTTCAATTAAAAGTAAATTTAGATGTCCGTCCAAGAACAAAGGGGTAACCGTACTATAACACATCGATTCATTTGAAAATTATGCTTCAACAAAACCCTGCTGTTTTAATAATACAGATTTAAGCACTGAAGACAAATTTATGTGGCTACCTTCCTGCATTTGGTAGATGCTTTATCTACTAACAAGAAAGGGGTCCAGACACCCCACCACTTTAACACAGCTGCTGATGTTCAGCATCAAAATTCATTTACATCGTAAAATTAGAGAAATTGTTGAATTTAAAAAGAGAAACCTTTGTTTTTCTTTTAAGGTCACCCTGCCTTGGTGGGATACAGCTGGTGTGTTAAAAAAAAAAATTAGGGAAAAGAATTCATTATACAGTGACACTCGAGAACCTCATAATTCATAAACTGCCATAGAAAATGTTAGCATATCAAATAGGGACCATTTAATATTAATTTTTTTCAGATTTCACAATCTTTTTTGTGTTTGTACCATTCCTAAAGTTAGCATTAACACAGATATTTTAAGGACTGGTTTGAATAGTTGATTGACGTTTTACTTGCCAGAAATATTCCAAGGAATTAAACAAATTCTCATCTATTATTTCATTTATTATTTCAGTGTGATTGTGAAATCTGGCAGAAATGTTTAAAAATCATTCCAGTGCTATTGAAGCTAACTTTGTTTTTAAATACTACTCTAGCTAGATTTGTGTTAAAAAAACTCAGGAAATTTTATTTATGTCCTAATGTGAAAATGCTTTTAGTTACAGCATATGAATTTGTTTCTCTATGATATTCCAAAAAGTATTTACTTTAAAGTTAAAGTGCTGTTTGTATTTACAGATACAACAGATGTAAAATACTTAATTCAGGCAATTTTATATTTCTTCATAATACAATTTGCACTCATGAAAAAGTATCTGGTTGCGTGTCTTATTGGAGTTACCTATGTTGAAGAATTTTCAGCTTTCCTCTGAATTGTCATTAAATTTCCTTTATCCTGTTGAAATAAAGATGCTGATTGTTAATTTACTGGGTTCTGCTTTTGTCAGAAGAATATCAATGGTTCTGTTAATGTTTTCATTGATAAGCATATAAAGTTATGTACATTTTAAGAATTCACTTATTTGATCACAAATGTTATTGGTCATATTGTTATTTTTGTGTAGGTTTGATTAACTTTACCATTGATAATTGTAAATTGTAAAATTGCTTTATGTAAAAAAAAAAATTGCATTTTTCCATTTGATATCAGTGGAAACGTTGAATATTTTTATCAGGTTCATTATTAAGCTATATAACTGGCATGGAGTAGCATCTGTCAAGTGAAAAAACAGTTACTACTTTTTTTACTGTTTTAGTGGAATTTCATATGTAACCATGGTCAGTACTCTTATGCTAATCCTTATGTGTCTTTTTCCAGTACTCTACAACCGTCTTTGTTTTAACGTTTAATGAAATAAACATTCAATAAATTTTATACTCTACAAACTTGAGTTTTATTTGAAGTAAAAGGTTCAATAGTACCCTAAGGCAGGGTCCTAGCACCTCTAGTTTCTCTTCCTCATAACAAGATGAATGAAAACGCTATTCACAGCCTTGCTGACTACTCCAAAATAAGTATGAAAGTCGCCTCAGTATCAGACAAGATAATAAACCCTTGATTGAACAGAGTAATGGGAGGAGGGAGCAGGTAACCACCAATGGCGACTAAGGTGTATAAAAAGTTTTGCCACAATTGTAACAACCAGCAGTTGTGTAACTAATGGACTGTCACTCATTTCCAGATCAATTGACCCAGCAGATTTTGTTGTGTATTTTTTCTATCCATTAAATTATTTTTTAGCACAATCGCCATCTCCCACAGAGGTAGGGTGACACAATGAAGAAAATTCTTAATATTTATCATTTTCAGAGGTTAAATAATGTGTCCTGCTATTTATACACCATTTTCTTCCCCAGAAGTTCATCCTTTCACTATAAAGACACTCAAATAGCCATATCTTTCCTGCATAATTATTTCCATTTCAAAATAACTTAATCTACTTCCAAATAACTGTCTATTGGAGAATAATTTTATCCACTTCAAAGCATCTTTGTTTACTTCAGGAAAACTTTGTGCATCTAAAAATTTCCATCCCCATTGCAAAATAAGTTTGAATAGACAGGAAGAGCAAATTGGTTGGCTCCTGAATAGACTGGAAGAGCAAATTGGTGGACTCCTGAATCTCCATTCTTAAGATCTGTCTTTAAACATCAATAAGTTAAGAGGCTTCTGCCGGTGTCCCTTATCTTCTGCACATGGTTCATTCCTGTTTGAATTTGTGTTAAGCAAAGCTGCTATACTATGTCAGTGATAAGGATGTGTTCTTACACTGCAAATTCCTCATTTCTTGATTAATGCTCACCAAAAATATGTGAACTTACAACATGTGCATTAAATGGTCATATTAAAAAAAAAAAAAAAAGTGGTACCTCAGGATACAAACTTTTTTTGTTCGAGAAGGCTGTTCGAGTGCTGATACTGAACGAATTTGTTTCCATAAGAAATAATGTAAATTAGATTAGTCTGCTTCAGACCCCCAAAAATACACTTAAAAAAAACACTTAAATAAATACACTTACGTATTCTTGACTTATTTTTTTTACCAAACGTTTTTGACCATGCCAGATAGGCACAAGATGGCTACATAACAAAGATAAACACTACTGTCGAAAAACCTGAGACAAATATAAAAAGTTTAATCATAATCCTTCATTTTACTCTCCCTAACCCACCCATCCCCAATGAGCAGCTCTTGATCTGAGGAATTGGGCTTGCCCTTCCTTCGTCTTGGACGAGACGTGATTGCCTTCCATTTCCCCAGGTATAATATGACCCCTACATATGTAGCACTTGCCCGCAAATGTAATGGTGATAATGGCCTCCGTTCTTTCACAAACAACCCCTCTGTGTCTGGACTCATAGTATACATGTTATGAACCTGGGAACATATATCTCATTATTTGTACCTCCCTCCCTTCCACCCCATAGTTCTGATGATATACTCGTTATTCTCTGTCACCCCATAGTCCTGATGATGTACTCATTCTTCCCTTCCTCCCACCCATAGTCCTGATGGTGTACGCATTCCTCCCACCCACAGTGCTGATGATGTACTCATTCCTCCCTCCCTCCCTCCCTCCCTCCCTCCCTCCCTCCCACCCACCCATAGTCCTGATGATGTACTCATTCCTAATAGTAGTTCTGATGATGTACTCATTCCTCCCTCCCTCCCTCCCTCCCATAGTCCTGATGATGTACTCGTTCCTTCCTCGCTCCACCTCTAGTGCTGACGTTGTGTTGGAGCAACCCAACTTGGTGTGGCCAAATGCTGATACTCTTCTTGGCTGTGCAAGATGTTGAAATTGAAAGCCAAGTACACAAAAGATTTTGTTCAGAATAAGTTCAGTGGATTTCACATACTCAAATCTATTTTGTTTCTGCAAAAATCTTTCTTATGAATGTCACTTATTTAAAGACTTACTACTAAAAAAAAAAAACATGGTGCTGGGCTAGGATGATCACATATACCTGGAGAGGGATTTTAGGGGTCAATGCCCTCTGCAGCCCGGTCCGGGGATCAGGGTCTGATCAACCAGGCTATTACTGCTGGCTGCACGTAAACCGACATAAGAACCACAGCCTGGCTAATCAGGTACTGAGTTAAGGTGCCTGTCCAGTATAAAAAAGAGTATTTGGTGTTCTGGTAGCGGGGAGTAAATGATAACTTCTTCTTCGAAGGCTTCTTATTTTATTGTTAAGTCGTAGTGGATACACAGGCTTGTGTGTTTGTGCCCATGGCTCGGGCAGGGCCATCCCACAAGAGAGAGAGCTAGTACTTGTGTCTTGCTGCTAGGCCGCTGTGTGAGTGAGAGCGAGGCAAGGGCAGGCAGGCTGGCTTGCCCACCGAGAGGCCTGGCTACAGAGGGCAGCACCTTAGTGCCGCAAAATATGAACTAAGCTGGCAGACAGCATGGGCTGTCTGTGCAGACAGTACAGGCTGTCTACATACGCTCGGCCACCTACCGCGCTTCGTCCCGACACGACAATACTAGTGGTAAAAGAAACTCTGTCTCTCTCTTGTAGGAACAGGGTACAGAACACAAAATAAAAACATATATATACATATGGACATGGAAAAAAAAACTTCCTACAGGGAGGGAAGAAAAAAACATGTGGGGTGTGCTAAACATCGTGGTCAAAGGCAGTGAGCGTCGATGGGCATCACTGCACGCCTTCCTGCGTCTGGACAGATACTGCAACACGGGAGACATCGCTGCGGCTGAGCTGTGACGTAACAGGTTACGGTCTCCTCTGGAACGGTGAAGCAGTCATCTTAGGAGTCACTGCAGGTTTTCACTCAACCTGGGACACGACATGCTGGTGCCCTCGAGTGAGGCGTCGACAAAACTCGGCAACGGGGCAGGACTTCCGGCAAGCGACTCAGGAGGACACTTCTCGACTGGTACTGTCGCTGGGCTGTCACTGCCGGCGAGCGTGGAGCGAGTTGTGGAGCGAGTCGTGGCAGAGACGACTGGGCGAAACATCTGGGAGTCGTAACATCATACACCAAACTGCAGTGAGCGAGCTAGCAGTCAAAGTGACATCTTCTTTGTGCAGGCTGCTCACTGAAGCTTGTGACACGAGGCTGACACAGCGCCTGCCGACAGGGCTGACTGCGGCTTGACGAGTATCATTCTCTCGGCAGTTGGAGTTATAGCAGAGGTTAGTCTAAGCGTCCTCAGACTTGTTTCTCTACATATAACTGCACTCTGAAGGTCTGGAGGTGAAGTGAAGCAAATCTCGATGGGAATCGTAGCAGGTACGATTCTGCAGAACATCACGAGCGACGAGCATAAAAGCTTTCTGTACAAGAGGGCTCGGTCACTCGGGGCTGTCTTGACATCAGCTGTCAAACGTACTGGTCACACGGGTGACTTAGCACAGTGGTGCTACTCAGGTCTGGCTCAGACCTCACTGGACACACGGAAACTTTAAACACACCCACGGTACATGCGGTACAACATGGCTTAAACTAGCAAATGATGCTTTTCTGTGCATAAAACTGACACTAAGACATATACTAAAATGTGAGAACACTGACTGAGAGGAATTAACACACGACATATATCTTCTCTTAGTCTTCTCGACAATATTTTAATAATTACTGAACACTCGATGGTGACATCATGTGATGTCAGGCATGATGACGTCAGCAGCACTGTGACGTCAGCAGACATCTCGAGGTGACATCAGGCAGACATCGTGACATAATGAAGTCGGGCAGCATCGTCGGTGACGTCAATGTGATGCGGGCAGCAGACCACAGCATGTGGCCTGGGACATCTGGCTCAGTAACTCATGTGGCTGGTAGATTTACATGACATCGCTCACACCCACGTGGCGTCGGGATCCATGTGGCTTCGTGATCTACGTGGCATGCTGATCCACATAGCTTCGAGTGGCCTCGGGCACTCGGATACACAGCTCTGGCAATGAATTCACACGGAAAACAGCAGAAAACACAGCAGAGGGAGTGGGCAGTGGTGAGTGGTGTATGGTAGGCTGGTGAGGTGTGAGAGTACAGCAGGGCGAGGCAAGGAGCGGCCTCCTCCCACAAACACGTGGAGAACTCACACTGGACGCAGAAATCACCACAAAACTCACCTCTGGCTTGCTGAAACAGCTGTGCTGAGCTGAACAACAACAACATACAAGTGACGCTGAACACGTGACTTGAGAAACAGCGTGGGACGCTGTAGCGTGGGGTCACTTACAATTCTCGGAGAATTTCGGCAAATTTCGGCCTGGATCCTGCTTGTACCTGTGTCTGGATGCTCAAACGTGCAGACACGACATCAGGATAACTCCTTGAGAAACGGATGCTTCATGTATAGGGTGATGAAGTGAAGATGACTTCATACCTCTTCCTTCCTCTCTCTGGGCAAACAACTGCTGCGACCACTGCTGCCACCATTTATAAAAAAGATTATTTGGTGTTCTGGTAGCGGGGAGTAAATGATAACTACTTCGGAGGCTTCTTACTTTATTGTTAAGTCGTAGTGGATACACAGGCTTGTGCGTTTGTGCCCATGGCCCGGGGAGGGCCATCCCATGAGAGAGAGAGCTAGTACTTGTGTCTTGCTGCTAGGCCGCTGTGTGAGAGCGAGGCAAGGGCAGGCAGGCTGGCTTGCCCACCGAGAGGCCTGGCTACAGAGGGCAGCACCTTAGTGCCGCGAAATATGAACTAAGCTGGCAGACAGCATGGGCTGTCTGTGCAGACAGTACAGGCTGTCTACACCAGTGACCTCTTGAAGACATCCTGGGGTCTATTGGTTCTCCCCCTTATGTATGCTGGGAGGCAGTTGAACAGTCTTGGGCCCCTGACACTTACTGTGTTGTCTCTTAGTGTACTCGATATGAGTGTAAAGCTCACGGC